TCATTATCTAGCAAACTAGATTAAGGATTGATTTATAAACTACTCTACTGACTACTCTACTAATTACAAGTTGGGAACTCACTTAGGTATGATTCCCCCTAGCTCCTCAATTAGGTCCAAGTTGCAATTACCTTTTGTTGATCTACTGTTGATTAAACTGCGGAAGATCCTAAATTAGCTTGGAATCTCTTAAGCTGACCAAGCCCTCTCAGTCCAACTACCCGGCAGACGACTAGTCTTTACCAGGATAGAAAGTTGAGGCTATAAACACAGAACTCCACTACTGGAATGAATTCCAGTACAAAGCAGTGAATTGATTGACTCTCGCACAACCAATTCACCACTATCAATCAAGGAAGCTCTCTTAACCTAATCAGATTCTATCTATCATAGGTTAAAGCAGAAATCAAGAGAATTTGATCAAGATTCAATTGACTCAATAAATCATGCCTCAATCGATTATAATCAAACAATATAGCATCCAAAACTTCATACAAGAAAGATCCTAACACATGGAACTAGGGTTCCTCAAAACATAAGTGAAGGGAAGTTACTCCATAGAGATGAGAGAGACTGCAGAAATCTGATCTAGATCTTCAATCTCCATCTCCAAGCTTGATTCCCGAGCTCCAATGGCGAAGAAATCCTCCAAAATAGCTCCAAGAATGTTCCCAAGTCGCTCTCTCTCTCTAGGGTTCGTCCCTTGGGTGTTTGGGAACCAAAACCCAGCTCTCCCTTCTGCCTCAAAAACCTGATTCTGGGCGAATTACGGGCTGAATTACGGTCGTAATTCTTCCATGCCCGTATTTTGCCCAAAACACGCGTTTTGGTTAAGTTTCAGCGCACTCAAAGCTCCTCTCGGCAGTGAAATTACGGGCATGGGAGGCCAAATTACGGTCGTAATTCTCCTGCCCGTAATTCTTCCTCCGCTCCTGTTCAAAGCTTCGTTTCTCCCTCGTCCGGACTCTAAATCAGTCGCCGTTTGAACCCAGACGCTCGTAGTCTCGTCCTCTTTCTTTTAATGACAAACTTCCATGATTCTTTGTCCATAAAGTGAGGTAGAAATCCATTCTTCTTCAGGTCATGCTCGTGTTTCTTCTCCCGAATTGCCAAATGATCTCCGATTGACTTGAAACTTGCGTCTATGCTTCAATTTACATGCTAGGACCTGAAATGTGACAAAGGAACACAACCTAGCGTAAAATAGGCCAAAGAAGCGATAATTCAAGCTCAAACAATCAAGAAACAAAGGGAAAACATGTGCAAATACCGAGTCATCATCTTTCAATTGAGAAAATCTATAACATTAATATAGTGCATACCCATTAAAATTATGGTTAATTTAACTATTCGTAAAAATTATCAATTAAATATAAGTATAAAAGTAATGTATTTGGAAATTTGATTATTATAATAGAAGTAGAAAATTTTCAACTTTTTAGGAAAGTAGATAAGAGGGAAATTTGACACTTTCAATTTTTGGAGAAGGAAATAAGTGATAAATTTTTGTGCTTGAATTATGGTAATAGAACTAGGGTAATTTTTTTTTTTGTATTTTCAACTTTTTGAAAAGCAAAGAAGGGAAATTTTGTGTTTTATTTCTTAGAAGAGAAGAGGAGGAAAACTTGAGTGCTTTTAAATTTGGTGTTTTTAATGTCCAATTAGTGATGCTCTATAAGGCTAATTAGATTTACAATAGCCAATGTCTTAGTCACTAAATGTTAAACTTTTAAACTATCATATATAAAACATTGTACTACAACCTGCATTTGAGATAGTTCGAATGATGTGATTCAAATAAGATAACTCATTATATATTCTCAAATCTACTATATCAAATTAGTAAGGCCCTATAATGTGATATTAATATTTACTATGGACAATGTCTTTGTCACTAGATATTAAACTTTTCTTAGAACCATCATAATTGCATACTATTTTACATTTTAGATCATATACTATTATTTACCAATGTGAATTATTACAATCTTTACTGTTATGGGTTAAGTGTTTAACATTTAGTAACTAAGACATTGTCTATTATAAACCAATGACTAATTGATAGACTTGGCAATCGGGTCGGGTTGGGTAATTTTGGGTTGAGAACATCGGTTACGGATCGGGTCATGTTTGGTTGGCTTATTTCGGGTCAAATATTGACCCAACCCATTCGGTTTCGGGTCGGGTTATAGGTCATTTCGGGTTATGAGCGTTCTCATGAACAATATCAAACATGCTTCATATTTTCTTAAAGAACACAATTTTTCACATATGCATGACAATAGTTTGCAGTCCGCGAAACTGAAAATTTGTACAACCGGAAAGTCATGAGACAAAAAAGAGGCTAATCTTGCAAAATGAGTTCGCCTAACCCATCAGCAACCACAACTTGACGAACCTGACGAAGAATGACTACCTTAGAGTCACCATGCACGATAATTTATAGTATTATATGATCTGTGTCCAAATTTCTTACATACTATATTTTTTTTTTATAAATGGATCCAGTGCATCTCAGTCTTCATTCAAAACCAAAGGGGGTCAGAGAGCCCCTGAAAATCGTACATAATGAAATTACACAAAGTAGGGTCAGAACAGGAGATGGAATGATAACCAAGGGGCAGCAAATGGCCTCGACTAGCTACCGAGCAGCTGAACCGCACAGAGGGAATCAAGCTCTACTCTGACACGTCTGAAACCTTTGTCCAAGGCATTCCGCACGACATTTCTCCATGCCCGAACGCGTTGTATAAAGGCTGCAGTGGTCGTGATCTTGCCTGCAAAGACTCTATCATTCCTGGTCCGTCACAGGGACCAGCAGACAATGCCGAACTCAAGGCTAGTGAGCTCCTGGCGAACATGGTAGAGAATCCAATCTTGCAAATGGGGTCTGAAAAACCGCTGGTGGTCAGAAGGTTGTATGAACTGCATCCAAGTTAACCTGGAAAATGCACAGTCTCGCAACACATGCAAGACTGTTTCAGGGGCCGCTTTGCACTGGGGGAAGATGTTCGTGGTGACTAGGTGTCTCCTGTGTCGTTCGGCGTTGGTGAGGAGTCGCTCCCTTGCTGCTAGCTAGAGAAAATGAGTGACTCGAGCTGGCCCTCTCCACCTCTAAATGGATCGCCAGTCAATAGTGTTCCTAGCCTCGCCGCTTTGACTGATGAGCTGGTATGCTGATTTGACCCGGAAACGCCCGTCCCGCTCCGGTCCCCAGGTCGGGGAATCCTCGCCGTACCCTTCTCTCGGCGGTTGTACACCCAGCACTGGCAAAACAACTTCCTCTGGCAAAAGTGAGCGTAAGAGTTGTACGTTCCACTCACCATCATTCGCAAAGTGGGCCACGGGGAGGCTGGGATCTGGAGAGGGGTTCGTGTCTAAGGCATGGTCGATGAGCAAATTTCCCGAGTCCACCCATCTATCCATCCAAAAACTCATGTCCCCCTCGTCTCTGATGCTCATTCTCATGCCAAGTGTCATTACCGGCCACGCCTTTCTGATGCCCCGCCAGAGATTAGATGCTCTCGCCATAGACTTCGCCTGCATCCCTCCGTTAACTTGTTTAAAATATTTAGCCTGCAACACTCTGACCCACAACTCGTCAGGTTTTTTAACAAAAACCCAAGCAAGTTTTGTTAGAAAAGCAAGGTTTAACTCATCCGCCTTCCTGAGACCCAGACCCCCTCCTCCTTGGGTTTACAAATGCCCTCCCAGTGAACCAGGTGAACCTTACGGGCTTCAGCTGTGGATCCCCAGATGAAGCACCGAATTCTCTTATTGATCTCATCGCAGATGGAGATTGGCAGCAGAGTTGTTTGCATTGCATAAGTGGACAGGGAGCTGAGCACCGACGTCGCCAGAGTCACACGCCCCGCCAGGGACAAGGATTTAGCCTTCCACCCTGCAAGTTTATTGTCTAGACGTTCCAAAATATACTGAAAGGTACCTTTGGTGATCCGCCCATGGAGAACCGGGATTAATACAAAGTTACAAATCGATAAATTGGAATTACAAACTAATAAATACAAAGTATACAAAACAAACAAACATTACAAATTACAATATATACAAATTAGTCATATAAACATTACAAAGTACAATAATAAACGATACCAACCGAATTAATACAAAGTTACAAACCAGACTTACAAATATTACAAAATAGTCTGACAAACATAACAAGCGACTGCTGTCGGCGAAAAATCTTTCTCTCTCGTAGAGGAGCTTTGGAGGGAAAATTCCCAATTCCCTACAAACAAAGGACCGCCGAACAGGAGCTTTGGAAGGACAATTGGGAATTGAGGACCGCCAGGAGAAAGGCACACATGGTTGGCAGTTTCTTGGCCGGATAAATCCCAGCGCCGGCGGATTTGCAGAGTCGTCGTCGGAAATCACTCATAGATGCGGAGGGATGGAACGTGCATAAATAAATAAATTTTTAATTATTAATAATTAAAAAAATTAAGCATGCAATTACCCTTCCTTAAATTGAATTAATTGGAGCCATTGGATCTTAGCCCCAATATATGGGGTAGCAACTGATCAGACCGTCTAACAATTCCGAATCCGAATGTAGAGCGGAAAAAGTATTAGGTTGGGTTTCCGCCTCCTGGTCGGGCACGGTCACGGTCACGGCTAGCCATTTTGTATATAAGTAGCCACCACCGGGAGGGAGTAAATTAATCAACTAAGGAAGGAAATTGGAAACCTAGTATCTAGTAGTGTTGGACGACTGCACCACCCACAATAATGTCGACGTCAACATACGAATGCCAGCCGCAGTACAATTTTGCGCTTCTGATGGATCGTTTCACACATATTTTCCTGTGGAGTCCCGTCGTCGTCATTGTAGCAATCGTTTTGTTCCTCTACTGGATGGAGCACCGGGAAAGGCAACCATTGGGAGACGTGGAGCAAGGTTTCGACGGGTATAGGGTTGACATCTTCAAGAAAACCCAAAGAGAAGGAGACGAAAGAAGATGGTCATCAGCGGAAGAAGAATGTGCGATTTGCTTGGAGGAGTTCGAGGACGGGGACGAGCGAAGCCTTCTCACGGCGTGCTGCCATGTCTATCATAGAAGCTGCTTACAACGTTGGCTCGCTGAAGCCTACAAGAGGAGCTGTCCCCTTTGCCGCGCCCACATTGTTACTACTGATGATCGTGGAGGTTACGGTGAATCAAGCGAGGAGATCATCAACAATCATCTTGAGCATCAACTGCGGTGAAATTAAAGGCTTCTTCAAGCGCCACATCAACCAAGGTTTTGTTCGTACCGATCGAGTAGACCTCGATCGAGAGATCAATCCATCGATCTTTTGGCCATGATGCGATGCATGAGAATTTTATAGGCTTATAGCTAGGTGCTACGAGTGTAATGATGATGTAATTTTTATATATGTTGATTTTATATAAAGATGTTTTGTTATATATGTATGAAATTCCAACACATAGGTACGTAGGAAAAATTTTACCTTCTTCTTTTATATCATCATCATTCCTAGAGGGGGGAAAATATACTACCATCGTTTGAAAAGTTATAGACCAAATACAATGTTTTTGGATTGTACATCGTTATTAATATTTTTGTTTGATATGCGGTCTGTTGTTCTGATTTCCTCGGTCATAATGATTTATCAGACCAGATCACAAAACCCATGTATTTTAGGCTTTAGTAGCCCATTGGAGGGCTCTTCTCATTCCCCAAGACTCAAATCTCAACCCTAATTCTGTAAATCTTGTCATGTCCTCCATGTACGCACCACACTCCACTAGAAACCAAAGAGGATATATAGCTTCTCCACATGACATTATATTATTATTTATGATGTTGAGGTGAAAACTGAGTTGCTCTGACTTCCAATCTTTGTAATTATTTGCTTGAATTTATGATATTATGTGGAGAGGATATATGATGTTAGTACTACTAAGTACTGACGTCTTGAAGAATCATGCACATCCGGCCATATAAGTAAAGATGGAAAAATGATGCATACGGGGAACTTGTAAATCTAACATGCCAAATCCAACAAAAGTCCCAAACTGATTCGGTTGCATTTAAAGACACTACTCCGTTCTTTCTGCAAGAAGGATAATCACCCTATTGTTGATTGTTATAAGCAGAGAGAAAAGAAGAATGAATCTAGCTAAGGTCTCTTCTGGGTTTGTTGACCAGAGTCCAGATACAAGGAGACAAGGAGTAGAGCGGATCCAGAAATTTTTTGTAGGGGCGTCCTCTTCCAAAAATTAAATTAAATTAATAATTAAATTAAATAATACATAAATAATAAAATATCCAATTAGTATAAATGTTGACAAAAAGTCACGATGTGTTTTCATATTTCGAAAAAAATATAAGATAGATTTGGTGTGTACACTGCTCAACAAACGGTATATCCTACTAGATCGCATATTCAATTTCTAACCTTGTTCATGATGTAATTCAAAGTTGAAAAGACTGTTTCAACACTTGCAGTGTAACCATAAAATCAATTCAAATTAGGGTACCCCTGGGGATAAGAAATCGCGTTTTCACCATTACATAGTGTTTAAAATAGAACAACAAATGAGTTATAACCTAATGGAGAAGATGTTAAATAATAGTAGTGTCCTAGATTTGAATAACACAGAGTACCACTTATATTTTTTTTAATCACGCAAACTACTATCGAGGGTAAGATAATCATTTATTAAAATTTTAGGGGTGTCCCAGATTACTAATTATATTTTGTTTATCCATACGAAATTACTACCGGGGGTTGAATAATCGTGTTCCCAAAATTCAGGGGGTGTCCCGGGACACCCCTAAAGCACCATGTATCCGCCACTGAGTAGACGTGTCCACTGGATGAATTTTATTTGAACTAGAAAGTAGAAACTACTTTGGTTTCTTGCAATAGGGAGCAGAGCACACTCTAAAGTCTAAACTATGATGGAAATTGGGCTGGTTGCCAAGACTATGGGCTTTTACGTACGTTCTTTGTAAGAATTAAGAAGAGAGCCATGGTGGGCATGGCCCATAGCCCATAGGCTCGTATATTGAGTCCCTATAGTTGTGTTATTTAGATGTTGAGGTTGTAACGTTGAAATAAAAAAAAAAAAATAATGTAAGAATACATAGTAAACAAGTTTCAATTGAGAACTGAGATTCACTAATATAATTTAGATGTAAAAGTAAATTCGATCCATCTCTTAGTAACATAAGTAAGAAGAAGGGGGGAAAAAACATAAGTAAGAAGAGAACTTTTCGCACCAGCTAGCTACTCATTTATAAGTCGGAAACATACAACAAAATTTTGAAAACAAAAGATAGAAATCCATCCTAACATATAGCCGCACAGAAAGCAACGAATTAATACCCGACCATTGGATTGAAATAATAGTGTAGTCATGAATGATACTGCTGGGTGATGAATGCGCAGGTCGTTGAGCTTACTTGATGCTGCAAATATATATGCAATTAATTGATTTGGTGAAGTCTATAATAGTAACGATCGAGTTAATTAACCCAAAAAAAAGCAATATAATGAACTCAACTAGCTAGTTTACGTACTCTTTACACTGAAGATTCTTGGAGAGCTTGAAAGGAACGTTGACTCTGCAGTTTTGAGGAATGACGTTCAACCGGCTCTCCACCAAGTTCAGCATAGGCGTCTTGAAAATCTTCTTCAGGCACTTGCAGGCTACCTCCTTATCCTCAGCCGTCTTTGCTTTGTCGGAAAGGGTTCGCATCCCGTTGCAGCACTTGGGCGGGACAGTCTTCTCGTCGCCGTTGCCTCTCGCGTAATCCAGGCATGGCTTCGCACTGTGCTTCACGTCCTCGCACGAGATAGCTGCTGCATTGCTCCCAGTAGCGCAGTGGCAGATCATGAAAACCAGACAAGAAACGGCCATGGTGTTCAACACCATCATCATAAGCTTGGTGGAAGGATTCATTCTCTCAATATCTTTCACTTTTTGGGTTTGGATGGCTGCTAGCTGTTTTTGTTGTTGATAACTTCGGATGGCTGATGTTGGTTAGCTAGCTAGCTTTTGGGTTTATATATATAGAGTTGCTTAATGATCGATCATGAGGAGTTTTGATGATTTGGATTGTACGATTACTTGTTTTGTTTTTTGGTTTGGTTTGGTTGCAGAATATATATTACCTACGTCTTCTTTATTACTACTTAACGTATTCGTTGACTATAATTTGTGCTAACTAATGACCTCTAGTGTGGATGTCTTATAATTTGTTATTATTCCCTTCTCTAGCTATGCTAGGATACTTAAAGGTTTATACGTACAAAACTCTATCTCTGTTTCCTTAACCGGATTGTACGACTCAATCGGAAAAGTTTGTGATTTATGGTTCAGTTGTTGACCATTATATAACCGTTGGTTTATTGTTGATAGAAACGTTCATATATTGTATATAATACAATAATTTAGAACGGAATTTTTCACTAATCATACTCAATTTTAAATTTATAACATCCATTACCAAAAGTTCTAACAAATCATTCAAAAATTTCTTTAACATAATCATTTTATCAAATTTAAGTTAGTAGTTGGGGTTGACAATTAGTAGTACACCACACAAATCCAACATAGAGATTGATAAACGTACAAGAGGAAGGAGAAAGAAAATTAGTAAGTGTAGCGTTATTTTAATAAATAAATTTCACTTTTACAAAAAAATAAAATAAAATTAGCACGGGTGTAAGTGTGACTCTAAATACCCACTGACCCGCCCCGACTCTGACGGCCGACTGGATCAAATTGTCTACAGGATCAGTTTAGGATCAGATCATATTTTCACCTTGTACAGGTCGGGTCAACTTAGAATCGAGTCACTTTTTGACTATGTAGGTTAAAAGCCCAATGCTCTACCAACTGAGCTATACACCCCCCAAAAAAAAGAAAGATAGGGCGGAAAGAAAGAAAAAAAACCTCATATCCTTACCTTAACTTGACTCTTAACAATAACTAGTGATGTAAAATTTCTCATACCCACACATTGGATGTATTTGTAAACTTTTGAAAGTTTAAGTACTAAATTGTAAAAAATAAAATTTGGGTACCAAAACATAAATTTACCATAAAAATTTATGACTCGCCACAGATACATCGTGAATTAATCCCGACTAGAGCCCAAGTTTTTAAGCTCTAGCCGGGTGCAGCACAGGGCAAGTATGTTTTAATTGTCAAACCCGAGCCGGTCTATGTACCCCTACTTCAATCGCTTAGATTGTTATCTAGCAAACGTTTTTGGATTTAATACTAAGAAAACTACAAATGGAAAAAACAAGCAAAGTAAATCGAAGGGAATTCTATATGAGAGGACCTCACCCGGGTATTGCTCCCCTAGTCTCGTGCTAAGAATCAATGAACTGAACTCTAGTGTGAAGGCTATGTTTATATACCGCGAGGCGGGTGCAACAAGCTAGGAACGAGCCCTCCTAGTCGATCAATCAAGGATTGCTACAATAAGCTAGCGAACCTAGCTCTCTTAACCGCTTGGCTAAGGATTGCAACAATAAGCTAGGAGGCCTAGCTCTCTTAATCAAACAAACCGAGGAAACCATAACTCTCTTAGTTGACCAATTAAGGATTATTGCATTAAGTTAGTAGACTAACTCTGTTAACCTTTCGACTAAGGATGACAACAATAGGCTAGACGATCTAGCCCTCTTAACTAATCAACTAAGGGTTGCAAGACCCAACCCTCGGAAGTTAATCTGGACGGCGGAGAGCGACCAACCATGATGGGATCATGGTACTACTCCGATACTTGAGGATTTGGCCCTAGATTAACCCAAAAGGGGTTATCCAAGTGGCTAGGAGATTAAGCTCCCTATTGGCCAAAGAGAGATTTTCACCTTCTAGGTTAATTTGACCCAATAAAAGCAAGCAACACCCAATCATTCATGATTAATACCTCAAATATTATATTAAACTCACAATCAACACAATAGAATCATGTTCTTACTTTTCAACCCTAAATCAAGGATGGATGGTCTTAGTTTACATTGTAAAACTTGTTCTTACTCTTTTTGTCGTTAAAATAATGAGCTAAAGGACCTATCAAATATGAGTGGTTCATCTGATTTCATATCCAACTGTTAATAAAAACCATCTGGTCCATCCCAACCATCTAAATAAATGACCTAAACATAGCGATTCTAGGGTTGTTCCACAGTGGACAATGTTAGGGCGCTAATACCTAATTTATTAGCATGATGCTAACACCTAATTTGTTAGCATGATGCTAACACTAGCTCCAGACAATAGCAACTTATTTTGATGATTTTTTTATTCCAAGGGGTTGACTACAATTAATGCGGATTTGTAAAGGGAGGGGCACACGTGTGGCGCTAGTCAATAATTGCACGTTTTGCGTCTTGCTACCCGTATCATGAAGCGTACCATAAAATATATACCAGAAATACAACAAACCACACCACAAATAACATAAAGAATACTAGAAAGCTTATAAAGCATACTAGAACATCACTACACCACAAAATTCATAAAGCTTATAAGAAAACCCAAAGCAGACCACAAGTTTCATAAAGCATATAAGAAAACTTAAAGCATACTACAAGTTCTCTAAAACATACAAAAAACATTATAAATCATACCACAAGTTCCCTGAAAGCAAGCTATAAACCTCATAAAGCATAACACAAGTTTCCTGAAGCATACGAGAACCTCATTAAACATACCGTAAGTTTCATAAGCAGATCAAAACCTCATAAAGAAGACCACAAGTTCACTAAAGCAGATCATAAGCCTCATAAAGCTTACCACGAGTTTATTAAAGCATACCACAAGTTTCTTAAAACATATCAGAAACCTCATTAGACATACCACAAGTTCCCTTAACCAGAATAGAAATCTTATAAAGTATACCCCAATTTTAGATATAAAAATGTAAGCCATTAAAATTTTAGATACTAAAATGTATTTTCCATTAATATTATAGGACTTATATGCAAAAATTAATTTTAGGCAATAATATTAAAATCTAGTAAGTTTAGGTATACAACTGTAATTTGTATATGAAATCCAAATCCATAGAACGGAGAAAAAAGATACTATTATAATTGTATTTATTATAATACTATTGTAGTGGCCTTGAGACGCTAGTACCCATTGTAGGACAAGTGACAAAGACGTGAACCTTTTCCCTTTGACTTTGTAAGAGTAGTTTCGTTGCTAAAACGGAAGAAGGAGTAGGAGGCAATCCATGCAAGGAAGTGAAATGAGCTATTGACGCAAGTCTTATGTGGAGGAAGGAAGCCAGGGAGCAACATTAGTTGATTGAAAGGACACCACATCAGGAATAGATCGATAGTCGCATATCGGCTGCTTGATTATTCACCAGATATGATATCGGAGCAACATACATAGGGAGTTGATGAAGATCAAACAACAATGGTATATAATATATGCGAATAATTAATGTTAGCAGGGCACTAACTGATTCGGGCCTAATTGTACACATTTTACCCCTCATTTCTTGATAGTTTGGCTTTGCATTTCATCGTCCCTCGATATATTTCAAGCTAGGTTGTGCTTGTTTTGATACATTCAGGTCCTAGCACTTGTGGAAGGGTCGAGGACGAGTTTTGGGACGATTGGAGGTCGAAAAAGGGCAAAAAAACCAAAGAAAAGTCCAAAGTCACCGTGACAAACTCCCCGTAACAGTGAAGCGCAGGAGTCCAGGTTTCAGGCCATGTTCACGGTTTCCCATTGAAGTTCACGGTCTTCTATGGACGTGAACTGAAGCCATAAACCGTGAACCTCGAAGCGTCTAGTGCGAATTATGAAGTTAGTGACGCAAGGCGAGTTCACGGTCAACAAGACCGTGAACTTTGAGTGCAAACCGTGAACTCTTGTGAGTGAAGCGGTGCGTTTTGACACATCGCTCCAATTTCACGGACGCGTTGAAGAGTTCACGGCCTTGAACTGAGGCCGATCCCCGTATAAAATGTGAGTTGAAAGGAAGAGAGAGGGGAGAGCCCCAAAAGGGGGAGAGCCTTCTTCTTGAAGCCCTAGAGAGAGAAAGTGACGAACCAAGAGGGAGAAGAGGCTAGAGTTTGCTCCAAGTGAAGATTTTGGAAGATCCTCTCCCAAGGAGGAGTTCTACAAGCACAAGGTCCTTGTAGTCAAAATTGGGATTTTATCTAAAATCGAAAACTGGGATAAAATCGTAATCGTAAAATCGAATCGTAGAATCGTAGGATTTTAAGTACCACATAGAAATTAACATATAATAATATTAATAAATTCATTAATAACACAAATACATATAACATTTAAAGTGATAATTTTCAAGATTAATGTTCCAAAATCATCATTTTAATTGTTATTTAATGTGTAACTCGAAATAATTTATGAGGAATGGATAGAAGTCATGGGGTTTGGCTCTTGTTTTTCATGTTCTGTCTAGGTAGGTTAACTCAAAATAGTATTCCGACATCGTCTACTAAGCATCATTTAAAACTAAAAATAACTGAACTCCAATAATAATTTTAATGTCATTGATTTGGTACAAATATATTCATTAATCAATTAATTTGTTAATAATGATGTTAATTCTTTCATACTTACAATATTGTGACAACTATTTTACCGATGAGTTAAACAAGGGGAAGGGAAAGTGGTTGACGAACCCTATAATTAGGTTATTTTTCCTTTTCAAATGTTCTTTAAATAGGAAAAATATCTGAGAAGATCCCCGTCATTGCCCTTTCCATCGAAATAGTTATATGCTTCTTTTGAATTGGCTCAAACTACCTATTTTGTTCACATAAGATCAAAATCCCGATTTTGGTACGATTTTTACGATTTTAATCCCGATTTTGAACTATTTTAAGGTCCAC